GTGGGGGAGCGTCGCTCAGCCAGAGTTATCACTGAAACGTCCAGTTCTCACCGTCTCACCGTCGTTGCGTTGCGTGTGTAGTGTAGAGGGCAAAACCAGCGCTCCGGTCCGTTCGGCGGAGCGGAGGCCGCAGGCCGCGCCGTCGCAGGTACAGGCGCATCGGTGGCAGTGGGCGGCACTGTCGCAGTCGCAGTCGACAGCCGCAGGTACAGGCGCATCGGTGGCGGTGGGCGGCGTCCCCGGACCCTGGGTTTCGCTCTGCTCTGAAGGCGTCCGTCCGGGGGAGGCCGGCGATCTCCGGCTCATCGGTGGCCTGTGTTCCGAGTCGGGCTGTCGGTCGGCTCGCAGCGTGGCCCGTTCCGAGGATGGCCCATCCGCCGGCTCATCAGAGCCGCCGCAGGCCAGCAGGAGCAACGGCAGAAGCAGTGCTAAGGCAAAGATTCCCAGGAAAAGTCGTGGCGTTCTCATCTAGATTCACTCCATGTGTTTGCTGGGTCGTGGTTGGACGGCCCGGTGCGCCCGGATAATAGCACCCGGTTGGCAAGCACCCGCTCAACTGGTTCCCCCGGAGATACAGGGACTACGGATTGACAAGGCCGCCGAGCTCCAACGGTATCCCCTCGTTCAGCTGGTTCGACAGGCTTGCCATGAGCAAGGGGCTGGCTCCGTACTAAACTAAAGCCAAGGTGAAATGTACATATCGCTAGACCGCACTATCGGTGCCTCCCAGTTGGGGCCTAAAGGTGATATGAGGTGCCGTGGAGTCCTTTCGGTCATCGTCAATCTCCCCGAAATGCACATCCCACCTTGGTATTGGTTTAGATACCGGTATCTCGCAGCGCCACGCGCCATAGCCAACACGCGTTGGGAGCGCCTCCTGGGCGATATGCCGTCCGTCCCCGGCTGAGGGCGCGGGGCTTCAGCAGAAGGGCAGGCCGCCAAGCTGAGAGAAGTCAAGGTTCAACTGGTCTTCCCAGCTGCTTGGCACGCACCCGCTCAAATGGCTGCCGTGGAGGTACAGTTGTGTCAGATTGGAGAGGCTGCCCAGCTCCGGCGGTAGCTCCCCGCTCAAGTCGGTGAAGCTGAGATCCAGGCTTCCAGGTTGGAGAGGCTGCCCAGCTCCGCCGGTGTCTCCCCGCTCAAGTTGGTGTAGCGGAGGTACAGCTGTATCAGGTTGGAGAGGCTGCCCAGCTCCGCCGGTATCTCCCCGCTCAAGTCGTTGGAGCTGAGGCCCAGCGCTGTCAGGTTGGAGAGGTTGCCCAACTCCGCCGGTATCTCCCCGCTCAACTCGTTTTCCATGAGCCATAGCTGTATCAGGTTGGAGAGGCTGCCCAGCTCCGGCGGTATCTCCCCGCTCAACTCGTTGTAGGCGAGGACCAGCTCTATAACGCGCCCGTCGTCGTTGGTGGTGACGCCGTCCCATTCGCCGAGGGGCGCGTCGCTCAGCCAGTTCTGTTGGTTCGGCCAGTTCCCCTCACCGTCCGCTGCGTTGTAGAGGGCAACCAGTGCTTCCCGGTCCGTTTCGGCGGGGCCGGAGGGCGCGGGTGGCGCTGTCGCATCGGTGGCAGTGGGCGCGTCCCCTGATCCTGGCGTGGAAGGCGTCCGTCCGGGGGAGGCCGGCGTCTCCGGCTCATCGGTGGCCCGTTCCAAGTCGGGCAGGTCTGTCGGCTCGGCGGTGGCCCGGCCCGAGGATGTCCCATCCGTCGGCTCATCCGAGCCGCCGCAGGCCAGCAGCAGCAACGGCAGAAGCAGTGCCAAGGCAAAGATTCCCAGGAAAAGGCGTGGCGTTCTCATCTAGATTCACTCCCTGTGTTTGCTGGGCCGGGGTGTGACGGCCCGGCGCGTCCGAATATTGGCACCCGCGGAAAATGCCTGCACCGCCTTGGGCTGCGATTCCGAGGGTAGTTGTACAACCGGGACGGGCGCAGTCGAAACAGGGGCCTTAATTCTCACCCTGCGGCGAGGTAATCCCTCGAGCTGGGGTTGCTCGTCTGAAAACGGTCTTTGGGAAATTCGTCGGAGGCGGTTTGCAACTCTCGACTGTACCGCTTTCTGTTAGGGGTTAGGGGTTCTTATAACACAGCAGGGCATGGTATGCCGTATCCCTACGTACCAGGAGATGCTGGCATGATGGGTGGGGAAATTGCGGAGGCGGCTCCACGCCGACGCCGGAATGACTGGTTGGGTTTTTGCCAGCGCACACCGCCGCACGCCTACGGAAGGTGGGGGACGAGGCCCCAGGACGAGCGGGCCAACCCGTCTGCGTGGAGGCCGGTTTGGGAGAGGGTGAGAGGATTTAGCCCCCGCCGCCCCCGCCATCACCGCCGGCGTCACCGCCGGGACCACTCCAGCGTCCCTGTTCTTTGCCCGCAGGCTGTGCCAGCCAGTCCCTGAAAGGGCTGGATTTTCTCTTTGGGCCTCCCTCCAGGTCCCAGGAGTCGGCGCCCATGAAACCGCGGTAGGCGGCGTAGAGGCCCAGTCGGGTCTGTTCCCTGGGCCCGTCGGGGAGAAACCAGGGCGGAACAGCGTTGCTATTGGTGATCCACTGTCTCGCTTCGTTCAGGGCCACGGCGTACGGCAGCATGGGATCGGGCTGGCTGGGGTCCAGAGTTGGGGAGACCAGGCCGTCCCTGATCGATCCTGCGAAGGACCACCATTGGCTAATCTCGAGGGCCCCGGCCGGAGTCGGGTTCAGGCGTCCTGAGGTTCTGTCAAAAGCGTAGTCTAGGAAAACCACCGCAATCGGGATTCCGATGGCGGCGCCGGCCCACCAGGGCAGCCAGAGGTTGACCCAAAGGCCCACGCCCACGGCCAATATTACTGTGGCCAAAACCCACGCGGTTTTCGCCACCCAACCCTGGCCCCGGTCTGCCATGACCTGCAAGGGGGGTTCATCAAAAATGCCCCGGGACCGCAGGCACTCGTCCAGATGGGCTGGCAATGGCTTTCCGCCGCCCCTCTAATTCTGACTTCAGCATATCTGAGTTTGGCTTCAGTAAATCTGAGACAGAGAAGGAGGTCAGAGCGCTGTAGACCTCCTTTTCCCATGGCTGATCGGGTTCGAACTGCCGGGTAAACCAGACGCGGGATTGGAGTCTCCTTTTCTCGGATTCGCCGTAGCCGCCGGTGATGGTCAAGTTGCCCTTCTGGAGCATGTCCACGAGGATGGACAGGTAGGTTTTGCGGGCCGACCTTCCGGCTGCCAAGCACCGACACCGCCGGGGCGGGAAGGTCGCTGGGGAGCGTGGTCAAACCCTCGGGCACTTCGGGGTAGTCGGCGGCGGCAGGCCAGCGGGACTTGCGGATGCGCGAGACGATGAGAAGCAGGGCGAGCAGGGACAAAGACGGAAATTCGGAGCACCAATAGAGGAGATAGGTGACGCGCTCCCAGTTCACGGTGGGGAACCGGCTGATTAGGCTGGTATCGAATAGGGGGATGGTCTCCTTGAAAATCCAGGAAACTCCCTCTTCCTTGGCGGTGGTCGGGTTCCGAGGATGGCCCATCCGCCAGTTCATCAGAGTCGCCGCAGGCCAGCAGCAGCACGAAGAATCAGCGCAAAGGCAAAGATCCCCAGGAAAAGGCGTGGCGTTCTCATCTCGATTCGCTCCCTGCGTTTGCTGGGCCGCGGTGGGGTGGCGCGTCCGAATACTAGCACACGTCGGGGGATTGCCTGCCTCCGCACCCGGCGCGGTGGAGTCAATGACCCGGCCGGTCTACCAGCGTGGCGTCCGGTTCGACTCCACCGGTAACGGTGGCTGTGCTGTGCTCCGTAGGAGCGCCAATGGCAAAAAACCACCCGTCCAGGAGTGAGGGCTTGAGCCACACCATCCAGCGGACGAAGGGTGATTACCCCTCAAAAGAAACGTTATTGCCTTCGGTCGCCAACGGCTCGCAGACGGGGTCCGTTCTGCCCCCGAGTTACGCCCGGCAGTCAGAGGACCGGTTGTGCGAACCGCGGTCTCCACGTCGACCACCGGCGCTGCTGGATGACGCAATTGATGCCATCATGGCAACGGCCCGGTCACCCAGGGAGCGGTATCGCCGGGCTATGGTGGACATCGCCCTGGTCCTGGTGCTGCGGGGCTGTGGTCTTCGCCCGCTCGGAGGCTGCCGTCCCCGTCAGGCCCGACCCGGCCCCAAGCGCCGTCCAGCACAACCACGAGGTCGAACTCCAACTCATTGGCGAGGTGGGCGTTGAGCAACAGCCACCGCAACGGTGAATCGAGTTATGAGCGTCGCCAGCGCTGCCGAAGACGAAGCCATGGACACCGTTGGGGGATCTCCGCCCGCTGATTCAGTTCACGCCCAACTGCCTGGCTATCCCCGTGCTGAATACCGTAAATGGTAATATCCCGTTACGGTCGCCGGTCTTGTTAACAAAATATTAGGCTGGGAGGGGATGCTCATGAAAACCGCAAACTTGGCGGTTCCGGCAGATCAATTGCGCTACCGGTGCGACCCGGACAGCTTGGGATTTTCGACCACCGACGAAGTCCCTCCCCTGGAGGGGATGATCGGCCAGGAGCGGGCACTGAGCGCTCTTGAACTGGCGCTGGACATAACGGAACCGGCTTCAACCTCTTCATCTCCGGACCGCCCGGCTCGGGCCGCAGCACCGCGCTGCGAGGTCACCTGGAACTACTGTCAATCCACAAGCCCATCCCCCCGGACTGGGGCTACGTTCACAACTTCCAGGACCCGTCCCAGCCGGTGCCCATCAGTCTGCCCTGCGGGTGGATGCGCGAATTGGCCGCCGACATGCAGGAAATGGTGGATACGATCCGCCGTGAAGTGCCTGGAGTATTTGAGAGCGATGACTATACGCAGCGGATGGAAACCGCCGTGCAGGACCTTCGAGCCCGGCGTCAGGACGCGATGACGGCCATGAACAAAGCCGCGGCGGAGGCCGGGTATTTCCTGGGCTCGTCGCCCGCCGGCATAACCCCGGTGCCTATGCGGGATGGTCAACCCCTGACCCCGGAGGCTTACGCCGCGCTGCCCGAAACGGAACGGGTGCAGTTCCAACAGCGTGCCGAGGAGTTGCAGCAGTCGATCAGCCGGACGCTGGCCGACATTCGCCAGTTGGGCAAAGCCGCGGCGGAAGAGGCCAGGGAAGTGGACACGGAGATAGTCCGCTTCACCCTTACGCCCATCGTTGACGAGCTCCAGCAGAAGTATGGCGCGTTTCCCGAAGTGGCAGCCCACCTGGAGCGGGTGCAGGAGGACTTGGTGGAGAACCTGGACTTACTCAAGCCGTCGGAAACATCGTCCGGTTCGTCCACGAGCCCAGCGACGGACCAGGAGGCCTTTGTTCGCTACCAGGTCAATGACCTGGTGGACAACACCAGCTGTGAAAGCGCTCCCGTCGTTTTTGAGAACAACCCCACCTACTACAACCTGTTCGGCCGCATCGACTACGTGGCAAGGATGGGCACTCTGAACACCAACCACACCATGGTCAAGGCAGGCGCCATCCATCAAGCCAACGGCGGGTATCTCATCCTGCAAGCGCGGGACCTGCTGGCCAGCCCCCTGGCCTGGCAGACCCTGAAGAGAACGCTCCAAAGCGGCGAAACACGAATTGAAAACATGGGTGATCAGTTAAGCCAGGTGCCGTCCGCCACGCTGCGCCCCAAGCCCATCCCGGTGAACGCCAAGGTCATTGTTATTGGCACTCCCGATGTCTTGGCCATGCTGCAAACGGTTGACGAGGACTTTGGCCGCTTTTTCAAGGTGATCGCTCAATTCGATACCCAGATGGACCGGACGCCGGAGAACATCGTCAAGTACGCTAGCTTTGTGGCGGCACGCTGCCAGAGAGAACACGGCAGGTCCTTCGACAAATCAGCGGTGGCGAGCATCATTGAATACTCGAGCCGGCTGGCCGAGCACCAAGAGAAGCTGACCACGCGGTTTCTGGAAGTGTCGGACATCATCACCGAGGCCAAATACTGGGCTACCTCAGCCCAGGACAGCCTTGTGACGGACGCCCATGTCACGAAGGCCATTGAGCAACGCCGCTTCCGGGCCAGTTTGATGGAGGATCGCATCCAGGAACTGATCGAGGACGGCACCATACGAATTTCCACCGATGGTGAAAATGTGGGCCAAGTCAACGGCCTGGCGATTCTGGCCTCTCGAGAGTCCAGCTTCGGCAAGCCCAGCCGCATTACGGCGCGCGTGTCCCTGGGCCAGGGTCAACTGGTGAACGTGGAGCGGGAGACCAAGCTGAGCGGCCGGATCCACGACAAAGGCTTTCTGGCGCTCACGGGTTATTTGCGCGGCAAGTATGGCCTGGACAAACCTCTGTCGCTGAACGCCAGCATCAGCTTTGAGCAGAGCTACAGCGAGGTGGACGGCGACAGCGCATCTTCCACGGAACTCTACGCCCTGCTGTCCGCTATATCCAGGCTCCCCTTGGCCCAGGGAATCGGCGTCACCGGCTCCGTGAACCAGAATGGGGACGTCCAGGCCATTGGCGGCGCCACTCAGAAAATCGAGGGGTTTTACGAGGTTTGTAAAGCCCAAGGGCTGACGGGCAGGCAGGGTGTGATGGTGCCGCGCGACAACCTGAAACACATCAACCTGAACGATGAAGTGGTGGAGGCGGTGAAAGCGGGGCAGTTCCAAGTGTACGCTATTGCCTCGGTGGACGAAGGCATCGAGACTCTGACGGGAGTTCCCGCGGGAGTAAAGCAGGAAGATGGGGAGTACCCTGAAGGAACCGTGCATTACCTGGTGGAGCTAAGGCTGCGGGAAATGGCGCAAGCTGCACGGAAGTTTGCCTCTGCCG